TGTTCCCAACAGAAGATTGGCAGAACAGACACCCACTGCTCATTGGCAGATATGTTCCCTACAGAAGATTAGTCACTTGCCGTTCATTGGCAGATCAGTCGCGTGCCACTGTTGCCAGAACAGCTCCGAGCTTCTCATTGGCAGATGAGACACTCGCCGCTCCTTGGGAGAATTGTTCCCCACTACAGTTCAGACACTTGCTGTTCACTGGCAGCGCAGTCCTATAGCGCTCATTGGGGAGTCRGACTCTCGTTGCTGGTTGACCGATCAGGTAGACTTGAACKATGAATGTGATGCGAATGTGATGTGAACTCTGGTCATCTAAAATTMTGGGTTTGCTCTATATTTTAATCACTATTGTACTGCTCTCCCTGGTGCTCTTTTTTTTTTTTTTCCAGTAAAAATACCTTTGCTAACTATGTTCATTCCGGTGCGGTTAAACTTGAGTTAAACACGGACATGGACTTGATTTCAGATCTGYTGACCGGAACATATCAATTCATTTTATTTATTTTATTATTTATTTTGGTTATTCAGAAAGTCAGTTCAGACACTCATGCTAAAGTGGGGGCGTGACAGGCAGTGCAAACCCCGACACCCTGCTAGTCGCTGAGGACCTCGGAAGCGGGCATAGCGAGTGACAGGTGTTGTAGCCCTTGGCTTCAGCGAACGGTAGGCGCCCTTCGGGTTTCCTCACACCGGCTCACCGCATCCAATCTTGCTTTTCTCTCCGTTGTTAGCCAGAATTTCCACTCCATCCTCTTTTCATCCTCTAGGGCCTGACGCTTGAGTGGATCTTCTTCCGCCTCCCACTCTTTCAAGGCCGCCTCCTGTTCGTCCCTGGGCACACCCACCCTGTGATCTTTTTCTCTAACTGATCATCTTTGGTCCCACTGGGTTCCCCTCTTTGCTCTCTTCTTCTCCTTTCCAGTGGCTCTTCTTCTACCTCTTCCTCCTCTTCCACCGCTTTAAGCTTCTCTTCTTCTTCTTTCTTTAGCCGCTCCTTCTCTCTAGCCATCTCCTCCTCAATCTTGTTCAACTTCGCCGCCTGTTCTTCTATCAAGGCCTTCTTCTTGGCCTCCTCCTTCTCTCTTCTCTCTTTCAGGATGGTGGCGGCTTTCGCCACCTCTTCGGTTGTGTAAGGGGAAGTGCTCTTTCCGGTACGCGTGTCAACCATGGTGATAGGTGCACAACCCAACAACGGTTCCACTCCTCACCACTTAGACGCTCCCCCTACTTAACTTAAGACTGATTGACTCTCTATGGACTTACAAAATCTTACCCTTCGTTCCAGCCAGATTACCACGGCCGACGGAAGCTTTCGCAACCACAGTCCTTGCAATCCAGACCCAGATGCCCAGCACCTGCGGTCAAACCCACCTGCCTGTCACTCCGGTTCAGACCCTGTCAACTAGGGGCACTAGCCTAGACTCTAAACTACAGCCGTCACCACAGAACCTGTTGCTGATCAGGAGGCATTTAAGAAGATCCCCCGTAACTCCTCAGGAATTTTTTAACGTCGCAGACAGGACGACGCGATCAGCAGGTTCTCTCAAGATTTAGACGGCCCGTTGTACAGCCCACAGCTCAGATTTCGGGCCTACCGTGCCACACCGAGCAGGCCGCCGGTCAGTACCGGTCCTTGGGAGGGTTCGTGTCCCCTGGGACAGTCGAGTCGTCAGACACAGTCTTTAGCCCTACTCAGCCTGGCAGAGGTTTTCCTTCATACACAGAGTCCTATCACCCAGACAGAAGAGACTCAATGCAAAAAGAAGAGACAGACAGACTCAGACTCAGTAAGTACTATAGGGTGAGTGCACATCCATAGGGCGAGGGGATAGGCTGAGGGCTTGGCGACATTATGCCAACTCCAGCTTCGTCAAAGTCGTGGTCAGCAGCTCCAATCAACGCCTTGGTCAACGCTCTGGTCAATGCCATCAGACCCCGGTCAACACTCCGGTCAACCCTCTGGTCAATGCCTGGTCAACCCTCTGGTCAACGCCCGGTCAACCCTCTGGTCGGCTATGGCTGTCGGCACCTTCTTCCTCGCCAATCTCCCTTCTCTTCCTCCTCCTTCACCCTTCTTCTTTCTCGCTGTTTCTCTTCTTTTTTTTTTTGTCTTCACCTTCGTTTTCCCTCCTTCCTGCTTCCTCATCTACGTCTCCTCCCTCGTCTATACTTCACCTCCCTCTCTCCTCCGTGTCCCGAGCTCCGCGGCTATGGCCGCTACTTCCTCTTGGGCTGCACAACGAATCTTCAGCGTAGGTATGCGGTAACCAATCTTGTATCGCTCAGCCCCTCTCTCTCTCTCTCTCTCTCTCTCTCTCTCTCTCTCTCTCTCTCTCTTCTTGTCTTCTTCGTCGTTGTCCCCTGTGCAGGTACGCGTCACCTTCTTCCGCAGCGCAGCTATGGCGGACCTCTTCTTCAGGGGTGGCGCACTTCAACTATGGCACTCTATGGCGCGCGTCTCCTTCCTGCTACAACGGTGATGGCGCGTGAGGTAGTGGGTACCAGCTCCGATACCAGTGCAATCAGACTCGCTTACTTCTTCTCTACGCATGCATACAAACCGATGGTGGTTCACTCTGGCCCATAGCGCCCAACTCAAAGCTCGGAGATATGGAAACCAAGAACACAGTTCAGATGCATACTCGCTTCAACAGGCTATGGTGCATCAGCACCCACACATCGCAGCTCTAGTCACTCTCTCCCACACCACCACTCACTTCACACTTCGACTCTGGATCACCCTGGATACCCCACGCACACACTCTGTAACACACATGAATACACACCTATCACTAACTATGGCAGCTATGGCCGCCAACTAACACTACTCTACAAGCAGCTATGGCTGCGCTAACTCCCTTCTGCCCACTTCGACTTCAGGCTCCTCGGCAGACCACCTCGCACAAGTCATTGTGGCAGCGCTTCCGCATGGCTTCCACAGGAATGAATAAATGACTGGGCGCTGCCTCTTGCTTTATACTTCTGCAGCTCGTTGGTCTGGCCCTTTCCCCATGCCCGTAGTGCACACAGTCCCATGCGGTACTTGCTTGACTGGACCAGGACTGCCTAGGACTGGGACGGCTGACTCAGCACGGGTAGACTACACCACTTGCCTCACCACTTTCCCACTTGCCTCAGCCTAAACGTGGGGAACTTCGAAAGGCCACTACTCAGACCTTCTGGAAGGCTGTAGACTTGGCCGTTCGATACTGTAGCAGCTACGACCTTGACCTTTCTGGACTGTAGCAGCTACGACCTTGACCCTTCAGGAAGTCTACAGTTACGACTCCTAGAACTCCCTAAGACTCCTATCCAACAGGTCTACAGATCAAATCCCCTACAACCTACGGACCTAAAACAGCCTACCAACTGTTTGTGAATACCCAGGTTATGGGTTCAAATACTCAAGGGTCAACTCGATACTGTACATGGGTAAGGTAAGGTCTGGGGATCGAACCCTGGGATCTGCATCTGCCTCTGCAAAGGTGAAAACCGTTTGAGGGCCTGTGCAAAACCCGCCACCTCAGAAACCTGCAGTGTCTTGTGTCTGGGCCTCTAGGCCATGGCCGGTGGGGTGAAAGGACACTTAAAAATCACCCCGTTATTTTTCGAGGGGCGGCTATGACCTGACAAACGTCCTGGGGCGCCCCTTTTTTTTTTTTTTTTTTTTTTGCCCCAGGGGCCTCCATCCGGACATGGGAACCGGACACCGGACTGTCTGGAACCCGGTCCGGACGTCCGGGCGGTTACCATGCTCTGATGTCTTCCCCCGCTCTGTAAACGATGGGGATGCTGTTCTTTTGTTGTTTTTTGTTTTTTTCCTCCCGTTTTCTTTTGCGCCCTCTTCTCTGTCTGTCTATCGACTCTATTCCTCTGTTTGCGTGTTTGCCCTTTCGCAAATATACGGAGTGTTCTGATCTTTCTCAGATCCTTTACGTTGAGCTCCTTTTGCATTCTTGTTCCCTCCACCCACCACGTCTGATAGGGTATTGCCAGGATTTTTATATTTCAAAGCACTTGAAAGTAGCAATCCAAAACCAGAATGGACATGGAGCCAGGACCATAAGGACCTGTTAAACGGAAAAAAAAAAAAAACACTGTAGCAATCCAAAGTTTTTTTTTTTCAAAATTCGAAGCACTCGAAAGCAGCGCTCAAAAGTGTTTTAAAAAACTTTTAATAATTTAATATCCAAATTTTAACATTAAATAATTATTACACATTCAAAAAGGAAAGAACTTCAAACCAACCATTTTGAATTCTTCCGAGTCCCTGTCAAGAGGATCGAGCTCGCACTTCAGGCGCCGGTAGTTCACATCCGCAGGATGCTGCCAAAGGAAAATAGAGATACAAGCATTGGAAGTGAGGTACCTGCTCTTTTTCCTCTTTTTTCTTTTTTTTTCTTTTTTCTTCTTCTTTTGTTCACTCAACTTCACGTGCGATTACCTTGCACCTTGTCAAAGTTTTACCGCACAGAATTGCGTCAAGGAATGTGTCCATCAGATGTAAAGATACAGAAGAGACATCTCAATTGAAAAAGCATTCTGAGAAACCATCAATCCTTTTAGTGGTTAGTTAATAATTAAATTAAAAAGAAAAAGAGATTAGCATTTCTACCGCCACTATAAGTGTCATACACAGGTGACAGGCCAATATTCATTTCGCAAAGAAAAAAAAAAACAAAAAAAACAGCTGATGTCTGTAACAGTTTTGAAAGGCAAAAATGCGGTCGATCTAACATAAATGGGGAGGGTGGCAGATCCTTCTTGTTGCACCCCTTGGCCTCCCATCCCATGCGGACAAGAGCTCGCTGTAAATCTGTAGACTCACAAAGCGCGAAAAGGCCAACTGGTGCACAACTTGTCAGACAAAACATGACAAATCCAATGCCCGAAATCAGCCGATGGTTGCACGAGTGTTTGTTTGGATTCTTTCGAGTATAATAAATTGCATATATTGTCGTAAATTTATGATAATCTAGTCATATAATACTAATATCCAATGCCAGAAATCAGCCAATGTTTGCATGAGTGTTTGTTTGGATTCTTTCCAGTACAAATTCATATAAAATAGTAATTAAATATTGTCGTAAATTAATGATAAATTAGTAATAAAATACTAAATTACTAATATTATACAAATAATATGATAATATTTTAATAATTTAATAAAATAATAATTATATTCTTCTATCCTCCTACCTTGGTTTTCTGGAGGAACAGCCAGCGAAGTAGGCAGGGGTCCAGGATTGAGGGGAAAGAACAACATTAGCAGTGGAGAATGGAACGGAAGCTGACAGAGGGAAGTTCAGGCAACCCCACAATGAATTTAGGAAAATAGCCGCAGGAAGAAATGGAGAGAAAGAGAGTGGCGGATCTAAGACTAAAAATAAATAAAGTTTAATAAATACGTCTTTTTTTTTTAACAGGAGAGATGTGACTGAAGTTAGGGGATAAAAGGAACAACAAAGAAGGGCAAAGCTACCATACAAAAGAAGATTATAAATGAATAAATAATAGTTAAATAAACAGTGTTGGGCTATGAAACACCCGCGGACGCGTCCGCGAGGTTGAACTCGGATGGCGGCCGTATATACGGCCGCGTCCACGGCCGACCTCGTCCGCGCCGCGGATGCGAATTTACCATATTTTTCCTGAATTAAATAATGGGTAATATATATATATATCGTCACAATATATATATCGTCACAAACAGAACTGCCCGGTAAACCGTAGGCAGAGAGAGAGAAGAGGACAACAAACGAGGGGCTGTGACAAACTGTTTCGTCGGAGTTTCACCGACTATATATATTGTCACAT